TGATTAGAGTAAATTTGACATGACATGACTTGTACTATACAAGATGTAGTTACCCTATTTCTATATTCTTGAAACCTAATTATATCTTAAATAAGCGGTATATTTGACAGTTCTATGGTATATTTTTCTTTTATCTCAATACCTGCCTTTAAAAGAAAAATATACCATAAAACTGTCAAATATACCGCTTATGTGAGATATAATTAGGTTTCAAGAATATAGAAATAGGGTAAATACATCTTGTATAGTACAAGTCATGTCATGTCAAATTTACTCTAATCAAATTACAAATCGAATAGAATAAATTAAGCAATTATTCTAATCATATCGATAAAAGACAATTTATACATGCTTTCTTCTAACCAACTATGATCAAATCTTATCAATACCTATAAAATGACATCAAATTTATTAAAATCAATTAAAATCATATTGAAATTACAATTAAATTACACCTATTCAAGTTAAATTGATTCAAGTTTAAGCAACTCATCGTATTCCGAAATAAATATATACAAGTTAAATCAGTTTTAGGCTAATCTTATTAGATAGCTTTGTTAGTAGATAGTTCTGGTCTTATTGGCTATCCATCCAGCAATTTTGAAAATTAAATGGTAAAGTTGTCTCCTCTCTAATAAAACAAGGTTAAAAAGCAAAAATGCAAAGATCCTATTTTTATTTCTATGCAGGCTTTAATTTAGGATGATAAGGGAACTGGTAGTTGAATTTTTCCACAATGATATGAATATGCACGATGTTTACATTCAATTTCACATAGCCTTGTATTCGTTAAAGTTATTCTCATTCAGGATGGACTGCCATTTCGACCACTTCTAGGTATTATCAGCACCCTTAGCGGGACTCGAACCAGGATAGTGCAGCGTGTAATCTCGACACGTTAACCATTACGCCACATTGCCACGAGTGCCCTCGGGTCACAGGGCAGATGCGAATTTTAAGGAAGGTCAGGCATTTTCCATATCACATTCTCTGTTGTGATTGCCAGGGAAGCAAAGTTATGTATGCTATGGCAATCGATTATAGTACTTAATTATCGTTCACAAGTAGTGTCTCGAGTTTACCAGCAAATCAATTATATTGGATGTATTCACCCAATTTCGTTTAAATTTATGAAGGACTGGTAGTTGACTTTTCCCATTCTCATTTAACTGATTTACTGGCAGTCTCGAAGTCCTACTCATGAACGAAAAACCCATATAGTTTGTCAATGATCTTGGACGAATCTGATTAAAAAGAACAGTTCTCAAGGAATAAATACTACCGAATCAAATGCACACTGTACATCATAGCAAGGATATAAATTTCACTTAGTTAGCATGACGTTTTATCATAAAAACCAATAGAACATTGAATACTTTGCAAAATCCAGTATCATATTCACCCGTTCGTGGACGGAAGCAATATCATTCTTTGAAGCAGCAAACGACAAACTTTTAGAAAAAAGATAAGCAAGCCCTACATTTCATGTCGTAACTCATAATTTGCCTGTTATTCAATAATTGAAGCTCAGGCAGATCAGGCAACCTATAGGAGGTAAAAACATGTATCCAACTGTAGACTAACCGGTGAGTCGAAACCGAATTTATATTAACATGCTCGTTAATAATGCTCATAAACCATTAAGCGTAGTTGAATAGGATTATTAATTGTCATAAAGTTGGAGGCAAACTCTATTGCTGGTGGAAAGAAGAAACAAATTCAGTCTAGTCAATGGAATATTGAAAGATTGCCAATGTGTAATTTCACTGATAATTCAAGACCTATTTAAGTCATTATTAGTAATATTTATACATTTTAATGATCCTAAATTTTCTTCTAATCGAGTTTCCCCCGTATTACTATCCCTTTTTGGGTGCTGATGTTATTCAGTAAATATACTATTTTTATGATGTAAAAATTGCAGAGGAATAAAGTGATGAACATAGGCAAAAAGGTTTTGATAGGAGGGTGCGTAACATCAGGTATAGACCAAATTTGAAGCCTTAGACACAGACAAGTGAGACTTGAGGAGAACTAATTTGCTGAACAGAGAGAGGACTCTCTATGAAGAGTAGATTGAATAAAGCTATTAATCAAGAAACCATCAAAATAAATCAAAGTAAATCGGCTTTAGTAACCTCAATCGCTTAAGATGATGAAAGACTGATAGTGAATTTTCCCACGATGTCACTGCATTTCACATAGTCTTGCTTTCCAAAGTGCATTCTCATATAGACTGAACTGAACTGCATTTTCGATCTTATCTGGGTCTCATCAGCACGCCACAACTGGACTAGAACCTGGGCAATTCAGCATCTGATCGAGGTCGAAAGTGCAGTCCAGTGCAGCTTGAATAAGAATACCTTTTGAGAAGCAGGGCAAAATGAAATTCATTGGCATCGTGGGGTCTATTAATGCAAATATGGGAAAATTCAGTTGTCAGCTCTTCATCACCTTCTGCTAATTCGGCTGACGAAAGAGTTGAGTCAAGGTCTAATAGAAGTTTAAAGATCCTACTCAATAGGAATAACAATAAAAAGGCGTTTAGGTGAAAAATGAGCTAATGCACACTTTTCCTTATCATCCATAATTCTATGCTTCCTACTCAAAACACTTGCATATTCAACTTGTCCACACGTTTTTTGGACGCCATCATTTGTCCTTCTGGATGTCTAATTTCGCCTCAATTGATAGTCGTGTGCTTTCAAAATAGTGGTTGTGTTGCATATGGGTCATAGAAAAATGCAGATTCTCACCGTATCTTTTTTGCTTTGTCTCCATGTACTATATTCAAGATTATTTCACAAATTTAGCTGGTGTCCATAAGTTTGTGTCTCCATCTCAACGATACAAGTTGTGAATTTATCTTATTATCATGCTGTTAAATTGTACTTCTTAACATACATACAATTGATTAGACAAATGAATTGTATATCGTGAAAATTATGTCGACTTAGTAACTGGTTTTTAGGAGAGGGTGAAAGCTCAGTCAAGTGTAGGTCTTAAATTGAGCTGTAACAATGTGATCCAAGTCAATCTTTAAGTATGTATGACCAAAAATGTTAATATGACAAAACTAGATGATCCCTTCAGAATGTGAGGTTTCATTATTATGTGATGGAAGATATTTTTATATTTCGTATCATTGGCAGATTAGCAAGCTTTTCGTTCTGCCGGAGGTCATCACGGATGAAGAAGCAGAAGCTTATCAAATTACGGAGGAGGACATGGAAAGTCTTTCTACTCTGGCATCACTGGATCGAGAGATGTCCCTAAATCAGGATGTGGCCAAGATGCCAGTGCTTCTGCATCTTAACGATGTTTTAGCCCGGTAAGTAAGCACTTGGCATGAACTTATTAAAAAAAGACAGTTTTGAACGTTGTCAGTAATCCTAAATTTTTCTCTAATCGAGTTTCACCCGTATTATTATCCCTTTTCGGGTGCAGATGTTATTAAGTGAATATGCGTTTTTTTATGATGTAAAAATTGCAGAGAAATAAAGTGATGAACATAGGAAAAGAGGTTTTGATAGGAGGGTGCGTAGCATCAGGTATACACCATATTTGAAGCCCTAGACACAGACAAGTGAGACTTGAGGAGATCTAATTTGCTGAACAGAGAGAGGACTCTCTATGAAGAGTAGATTGAATAAAGCTATTAATCAAGAAACCATCAAAATAAATCAAAGTAAATCGGCTTTAGTAACGCCAATCGCCTAAGATGACGAAAGACTGATAGTGAATTTTCCCACGATGTCACTACATTTCACATGGTCTTGCTTCCCAAAGTGCATTCTCATCTAGACTGAACATAAATAAAATTAAAAAAATATTGTCACAGCCTATTTCGCTGAAAGTGACTTAAAGAATGCCAAATGGATTTTATCACAATTAATTGGGTAAACTTAGCAACTACATTGAATTTCGCATTGCTCTGCCAGCTTGACGACACCTTCAACCTCGCCTCATTCGGTCTTCAGCGCGCCCAACTGGAGTAGAGCTCGGGTCGTGGATTATGAGGCATATTCGACCGTGAAAGCAAGACAGACGTCGCGCAAATCACATTCAGATTGGGATTACCGAACATGCAAAAACAATGGACGATGAAACTTATTATAGAGCTTGTTTGACCTTATTTTCGCAACATGGTCATATTGGTAGGAAGACTCCGAGG